GCCACATCCAGGACATCTCCCCAGACATAAAAGATCCAGTAGAAGATTCCTGGGCTGTGCTGAGTGTTCATCTCAGTCCTACAGCCACACCATGCCATCACTATCTTTATTTATTTTCTTTATCATAATCACTTGGGCCTCTGGGTAATTGGAACAATTAGGGTGATTAATTGCATGTTTGCAATAAAAACAGAAGACCAGGGAGGGTTACATTACAGGCTAAATATTTTCAGAAAACTCTATCAGCTGGTAGACATAACAAATGCGATCAGTTCAGTGCAACACGAAGCTGAGCACATTGTGCAAACTGGTTTGCTCTGGAACTCGAACCTCCTCAAAAGAAGCCAAAGTGTTTAAAAAAATAAACGAAGTCAGAGTGCATAGGGGGAAAAGAAATATTGACATGTGAGGCTGCCGCACTTCTAACATAAAGAAACATTGTTTTCCCTTCGGTCCTTTTATTGTCTAAACAGAAAGTGCAAAGCACAGGAGAAAGCGCACAACAAGGCAGGGTGCACAAGGGAAGGTCGGGAGCTTGTGCTTGGAAGCAGTGAGTTACACTGAGAGGAAAATTGGAAAAGCAAGCAGCAGGATACCTACGGGACTGACACATCCCCCACTGCCAGCAAGAGGGCAAACCAACCTGCCTGCCACTACACTCCAACAACAAGGATTTTGGAGAGGGACGCTGAACCCAAGAACAGATGATACAATGAAAGTTTCATTTGTTTAATCCAGATTTGCTTACAAATCTGGGTTTTCATCCTCTGCTCATCAATATGCTCCTGAAGTGCTTCAATACAGCTGTAACCAAGCCCTCTTTCTGGATTTCTTTGCAACCACTTGGTCTCCAAAGACCGACTATAAACTAAACAGGGCATGAACACTTACTTACATAGACTTCCAAAGAAGAAGAAATAAGAGGAACAAGAACAGGCACTGTCCATCCCAGCCAATAAAGCTGTGCCAGTGTATGGCAAAGCAGAAAATTCCCTGTAAGGGAGAGGGTCTCCACAGCAATGCCAGTCACAGCTCATCTATCACAATGTTGTTATCATGGCCATCATCTTCCAGGATGTCTCCTGAAGAACAGGACCACACCAGTGCTGCATGAGGAGTTCAGGAGTGCTCTGCAGGAAGGTGCAGGTCCCTGAGCAGGGCTGACAAGCAGGGCAGGGCTGCACATCAGTCAGGCAGAATTCTGTCAGCTCAGGAGCCACAGCACTGGCCACCCAGCAGAGGGATGTCTGCCCTGTGCTCCACACAGACATGCCCAAATCCAAACCAGTCTTTAACTTCATGTACTCTATAGGATCTGATCCATGTGCTCATCAGTAACGAGCCTTATCTTTGGCTGAGCCTTTTCCAGGCTACTCTGTGAGGTGCACTATCAAATTCCTACATAAATAGAAAGCCAGCTTCTTATATTGCCCACACTCCCACATACCTGCTTGGTTACATGGAGAAAGTGAACAGTGAAAGGTTTTATGTTCCACTTGTATGATTGGAGACTTTGTGCTTTAACACAAGCACCGGGGTCACAGGGCAGGAACAAGGTGTTTTCTTTCCAGTCAGCATGAACTGACATTTATTAGATGAGGGGTTTGTTCTATTTGTTTTTAGTCAATTACATTTTAACTCAGTTCAACAATACTGGAAAACCTGACAAAATATTCCAGAGTGTTCAATCAAGAAGGTCATGGACAAATGTCCAAAATTTAAAACAGAAGCACATTTCAATGAAAATTCGTTCTGCATTTGGGAAATCTGTGTTACACATTTCTCTTTAGCTGAGAAAAGTCTTCTCAGAGAAATGCCAGTGTTTCTCGTGATTAATTACTGAAGAAATTGGTTTTTATTATTAATTTAACTGTGGAATTTTTGTCAGGCTCATGAAACTGCCAAGTCCTCACCTGTTTAAGAGAATAAGCAACATGCATGTGTAAGAGGAGTGGAAGGCAAAGAAAGAGTGCTGAGGGACACATCAGTAGTATTTCTGTACATTCCCTTCAGAAGAACCCATATTTTCCATATGGGTTTTCAGGTTTCATCACATTCAAGTAAAACAAACAAACAAACAAACAAAAAGGCAAAATTAAAGGTTTGGCTTCTCTGCAGTCAAATGTGAATCTGTTATCAATCCCAAACAGGTTAAACTCCAAACTTCTGAATGCATTTTCCTGCATCCTCCCTTGTAGCCTCACTTATTACAAAGGGGTAAGTAGAAGGGACAGGCTAAAAAAAAAATGTATCTATAAACTACAAATTACAGCTTTGAATTTACTTCCTTTAGCAGGTTGTTACTTTTAACACAAACAGACTTGTACAGGGGAAGAAGCATCATTCTCCAGCTTAGACAAGCTTTGCATTCAAATTTCCAGTTTGTTTATGAGAATATTAACTTTGGTTTGTTCACTGCAGAAAGGGCAGAGAGAGTCACCCTGAGAGCTCATTTCAATGGCTGTCCAACAGAATGAATGTTTCCACTGCCATTTTGGTCATTATCACTATCAAGAGAAATGCTTAGTCCTTTAATATTTCTGCACTTAATTCACTAGTTACACAGGAAAGTGTTCTGAAGCCCATGGAGCTCTGGCTTCATGTTATACCATGGTCCAGAAAAATTAATATAATCAACAAGCACTGGTTCAGTGAGAACTTCTGCAAACATTAGAATCATTCATGAAAATTTGACTAAAATGGGTATTTTAAAAAAATGCAAAGCCATTTTAATTCAATTCTCACTTATTGTTCAGTATACTACTCCTTACAAATTTGTATCTTGCAAAATACTTCTCAGCAAGGAATAGAAAGACAGCTAAAAATGCTGCTTTTCTGACAAGACAGTTTTGTTAGCTGTAAAATATACAGTAATCCTGTTTAATGGGTAGCATTCTAAACCAGTGAATAAAATTTGCTATTTGGTCTTGCTCACACATACATGAAAAATGCTATTGGAAAAGATCTTATTTTCCCAATCAGGATACTAAAACCAGCCTCTCAAACATGAGCTTGGTTATGTTAATACACACAGTACCTATTCACACAGGTAGTATTACCTGAGGGTACAGCACTTTGTGGAGAATTAAAAATTAACTTCTGATGATCCAGAAATTATCCCTAGGGAAAGATGTCAGTCTGACCTCTTCATTTCAGTCACTGCTCAGGCTGAACAATTTTATCACCAGTCACTCAAAATCTACAGATTATCCCCTCTCAACACAGTTTGATTATTCTACTTGCTGAGCAACCTGCTCTAGTGGAAGATGCCCCTGCCCATGGCAGGAGGGTTGGACTACATGACCTTTAAAAGATCCCTTCCAACTTGAACTATTTCATGATTCTGTGACAAGATGCAGCTCACTTATACCCAAGTCAGGTACTTCTGACTGCATCAGTTCTGCCTGTGTTTTCCAAACAGTGACTCATTCCTGCTCCTACTGAGAAACTGCCCCTTCAACATCATCATGCGTGTTTTATGCTTTTAACAAGGATCCTATTGAAAATGATAAGTTTTTTTGAATTTTCATTCCAGAGTGGCATTGTTGGAATATTCTAGCTAAACATCACACACTGTCCTTTGCCAGAGATACTCACGGTTTTGCTTTTGGGATCACATGTTGCTTTTCTTCCATGGAATGAACATCTTGCAAGGTTCCGAGTCTGAATTCCAATCACAGTTCAATGTACAATTTCATTGCATTTTTGGGAGCTAGCCTGTGTTTTTGTTGCCTCTCACTGCACATCTTTCCAAAAGGAACTAAATCAACTGGGTGAAACACTAGCCCTCCGACCACAGCCATTTTCTTTGCAACTTTCTAGTTTTTCCATCAAATTTATTTCTCTCAACTGAGGCTCTCTATTAGTCAGATGTAGAAGATTTATATTTAAGGGTACAAAGTCTGGTATGGACAAAGTGAATCTTGTAGAACTGCTGTGCTTGAATGTATCAGAAGACAAAATGTAGGAAATCACATTTGAAATACATTAAGTGAAAACTGAATTATGACCAATCCTAAGTAAGTCTATGTGTCTGCTACAAGTTCCCCACTGGGTCTTCGTAGGCTCTGAGCTACTGACATTTCCTCTAGGTCTCCATGCTGGAGATTCCATTCCACTGTGATACATTCTAGCTCTTTTTCTGCAAAGTTTCTTAATTTCTTCATTCTCTCACTGAAGTCTGAAAACAAAACACCCTTCTAGCAGGGAGGTTTATACCTTTAAGAGAAAAAAAGATGCACTTTAGAACTGCCATAGTTATGACCTGCTGCTCTAGAACACTAGCACTGGAGACATGCAAACCAGATCTGTACACAGGCTGTACTTCCACAGGATTATAATTCAAACAGCTCTCAGACATCACAAACATTTCAAGTCCAAAAAAGGTCTGTAAAACCACTGACTTGACAAAACCAGGGCAAGAAGAGAATTAACTGCCTGATTTTACTCAGTAGGCCCAAGGTCAGGTATTGAACAAAGCCTTCCTGACTCAGCTTCAACTACTATAGCACCCTGTCCCATGAATCACCCACTAAGAGTTAGCTTATTTAATGTCTACTTAGAATCTGCATGATTTAAACACTGTAATACTCACTAATCAATTTGACAAGCTTGAGATTAGAAAGGGAAATCTAGAAACTTGGTATAAAAATATCTTTGACCGATCCTTTTCCTAGAGTTACACAAAGAAGTTAATTTCTTTATATTACTATATAAATACCTGTAACTCTCATGCAGAGAGGTCCTCAAAAACAGAGCCTTAAACTGAAGGTAACACACTCACACTGAAACAAATGGACAGTCCTCACAGCACAGCAATCTCTTGCCTACAGTGCCCTTTCTTATAGTATTAGGTCCTTTCACCAGACAGATTCAGACTTGGTTACCCAAGAAGGCAAGTGCCTTCCTGAGCTCCAGTATATTCTGTGGCTCCAAGAGCAATTTGGACTATCTACTGCACAAAACAGACATTTCACTGGAATTTCTTCAACACAACCCACCTGCATTTTTTCTAGAGAAACTTGCTTGTTTTAGACTGAGAGTAATGGAAAATTCACACCACACTGCTGGCAACCTGTTCCACTGGTTAACTGTCTTCTTCTAAAGTTTCACTTTTGAACTTGGAAGCTGGTGTAAACAAACCAAATTAGTTTAGCCAGTAAGAAGCACTGTAAAGACATAAATTGGTCCAAAAGAGTCAGATTTCATTTGACCTTGCATCGTCTCAGACTGAAGAAGTTCAGCATGAATAAGCACAAGTCTCACAGGGCTGACATTAGGGCCAAAAATCCATCATAGCTAAATTTAGGTCCAAGGAATCCAAAGCCACGAATAACTGTGTTGAATTACTTAAAAAAATAAAGGTATTTTGGCTTAAGTCTTAAATGTTTCCTGTTTTTAAGTTACATGGGTTTTTTCGTTAGGTTTGGGTTTTGGTTGTTTTTTTTTTTTCTTTTAGACTTCTCAAATGGTAAACATAGTCAAAGCAAGAACTTTTAAAATGGATATCAAGTATAAACGTGCATTAAGTATGGGTAACAAGTTTACAGGCCTGATTTATACTGTGAAAGCCAATGCCATATATGCCTTGATTTTAAATTGTAGTTATTACTTACTATGTAAGCCTTTAGCCTGAACTTGGCCATTTCAGTAAGGACTTAGATATAGCCACTGATGAAAGTTACACGTTTAAGTTAAGCTACTACATAGAAATGTGCGATATGACTGAGCCAACACACACAAAGCTCCCTCGGCCTCTCCTGGCTCAAGCACATCGAAGCGTTCCGGGAACTCCCAAGCCCGGCTGTACAAGAGCTGTGGCGAACTCCCCTCCTGCCACCAGTCCCCTCCTGGCACAGGCGAACCCCTTTCTTGGGAGCGTTGTGGGAGGGCTGTTTGTTTGCTCTGCACCGGTGAACAAACACCAGCGTAATACAGGATAACCTTCTCCATGCAGGTTTGCCCCTCAGCACCGCCAGGGCTGCAGTAAGGCAGGTGCATTATATGGGACAAACCAGCAGCCCTGCCCCAGCACGGAGCCATCGCTGCGCTCTGCTCGAACCTCCGCCCACGCGACACACTGGGGAATTTCAAGGGAATCAATCCCTCAAACCCAGAGCCTTTACCTGTTTGATCTGTGGCGCGAACGAACATTCCCTTTTCCCAGGGAAAGGGGAAGGACCGGCGCCCACAAGGAGCCTGGGCAGGATCCCCAGAGCTGAGGGTCCGGTGCCTCACGGGGCGGGAGCGCCGCCATCACCGCGGCCTCAGCAGCGCCCCCAGTGCGGGGCCGGCCCTGCTCCTTCTTCTTCGTAAATCCCTCCCAACGCTCCAAGGAAACAAGAGTTCATCTTCCTTCATAGTATTCTCTTTTGAGTACCCCAGGTGCTTTGCTTCTTTAGGTGCAATTTCTTGTTTCTCTTAATTTTCTCTAGAGGTTTGGCTCTCTGATTCATTTGTATGCCATGGTTGCACACTGGCCATAAAAAAATAATGCCAAGTGTTATGAGGGAAAACAAAGCACAGCTGCAGACTGGGACAGACAAAAAGGAAGGTGAACCATGCAGGTGTGGGCTCCCACAAATCGGGGCAGCTCTGGGATATGAGATCATCAGCCTTGTGAGTGCCTTTGGAGATAGGCAGGAAGAATTTGTAATCCCAGGACTGAGGAACATCAGGAACTAAAGAAGCCATTTCACAACGTGAGGTACTCCATGAAGAAGGGGATGTAAAAAATCAGCCATCTGCAGGTACATGAAGCTTTTGAATGTCTTGAAATAAGTGTATATTTAGTGTTGGAAGAGCATGAGAAACAGTCGATTCGCACCTTGATCAAAAGAACACATTTCTTAATAGGAAACAGAGCCTGTCATGAAAAAATTGGAAGGTTCTCCCAGGGAACTATGCCTATGACTGTTATTTAAACCACATTTTGTGAAAAAAAAAAAAAGTTTTGTAAAAAGAAATGTTTTGTATTTGCTGTAGCTTATGGGCACTTTTGAGTAGATTGTACCAGTAAGACCATAAAACCCTGACGGTAATTAGTAAATAAAACCAGAAATGCTTCCACTAAAGGTGGTTGCATAAAATAAAGCAAAAACAGCGTGAGATCACAAATAGTCATAGGGGATCACCCCATGGAATAAGGAGCAAGTTTGCCACTAATGTTGCCTGGCTGAGGACAATATCCAACAGCCAGTGGGAAAGGCCAGCAAGAAGAAACAAGAGAAAAATGTTACCCACTGTAAAAAAAAGTAATACCAAAGTAAAGCCAAAGTAAGTCTTCTGGTTTGGGTGAGGGCTCTTTCAGAAATGTCCAAGCCAAGCCTACTCGTTGTACCTATAAGGATACAGGAAAGTAAAACACACAGGTGTGTGTATGGACACATCACTGCCTGGGCATCTGTGTGGCATCTGGAGCTCTCACAGTGGCCTGGGCTACAATAAAACATGCAGTCCCTCTCTGATTTCAGGAATAGTTTCCACGAAGTCTTTCTTTGCATTTGAATTTCACCCTTACGTTCTGGCAAGCTAAGCAGAGACATAACTCTGTGACTAATGCTAATGTTGCAGTAGTGAAATACTGGGCAAAAGATGGGAAAACCAGACCCACTTGCCCGAAAGAATGATTTAATTGAAGTTTTCACTGTTCCAAAATAGGTATGTTTCACATCATAAAGAATTCTTCTCTCATAAAAACTATTTTTTTAAGGGGGGGGGGAATTTTTCTTTGCAGCAAGCTGACTTTATTGGTAAGCAATTAAATATTTCTTTGGATTGCTGTTCAAAATTAATTACTCATTAATGTGGAAAAAGCAGCTGTAGTCTTGCTGTGGATTCAGAGGTTTCCAACCGGGTGCATCTAATTCCAATAAAAAAAAAAAAAACCTAGAAAGAGTATTATAATTACTGTCATATGAAAACCTGCTTCAGTCCAGATGTAGAAGCCGATACCACAAGTGTTAACATAGAGCAGTCTGCTGCAGGGGAATGACAGATGAATCCTACATATGTTTGCAAAAAGGACATATTACATGATCCTTCTAGAATCTCTTGGGTTTGTTTTCATTTTTCCGAAGCTCCTACAGAAAATGCAAATCCACAATAAGGTTTTGGACAGTGTCACAGACACCTCTGTATAAATTCAGATGAAAACTTGCATACTTAACTAACGCTGTCCACTCTGCACCCTCACAAGTAATTCCACTGAAGTAATGAAATTAGTGGTGTGAGTAGACATTAAGGAACTGGCTCCTAATTCTACGTTTTCCCCTTCAGGGAACAAACAAGAGCTTGTGGCTCTATGATGACCCAGGGACTTGCAGTGAGGACAGAGGATTGCCAGAAGTGTCAGGTGTTAGGACTCACATCTTCAGAAGTTCTGAGCTTTGCAGCAAGGAAGTGAGTCCTCAGAAATCTGAAAATTATAATGGTGACAAGTGCTATCTGCAGATTTTCTACTGCAACCAGTAGCAGCTTGCATGCAGAAAGATTTCAGAAGCAGGCATCCTTTCCTTTTCCTTCCCAAGTTTTATTAATTTGACCAAAGACTATGTGGCTTCAGCCTTAACAAAAAACAATAAAATTCTGGGATGATTTAGGCTGGAACAACCTCTGAGTGACTTGAGTAATCCAAATCATTCCACTTCAATCCAAATTGATTTCATTATCCTTAAGTCATTTATTTAAATAAATGGAGTCAGAAGAGATCAGAGAGTTTAATTATTGGAAACACTGGTTGGCACTAAGTTTGGAATTAAAATTATTCACTTTGAAGTCCTTAAATGCACAGTATGACAATGCCAGTTGTCAAGGAACACTTTTTCCTTGGTTAAAAAGGACAAGCTGAGCACAAAATGGAAGAATGAAACCTTGAATAATCCACATAAGATAAATTCATCCTGTCAGCTGCAGAGTTACCCACTTTAATTCTCTTACCAAATCAAGAACTCAGGGACTAATTTCCTAAAATGTGGAAGTCTGAATTTACACCAAAATTTGACTGATGATACGATTCTGCATATTAAACAGGACTGGCCTCACTTCAATGCTGTAGGAAAACCAGCTGTAACTGTTAAGACTTTAGTGTGGGCTAGAAGTCCATCCTTTCCCTGCAGAAGACAACCAGGCTGCTCAGACATCCTTCCCCCCTGCCCCTGCTTCCCCTCGTCCTTCAGGTGTATGGAAGTGCCAAGGTTTGGCACTGGTTTTACAGCTACTTTGCCACAGCCAACATGATGTTCTAAAACCAAGTCATATCCCCCCTCAACTTTCTCCTCCCCAAACTGAAGACTCTGTTTTCAGACTCCCCTGGTAATCAACTCCTCCATCTCCTTGTTCAGTTTAGTTGCCTTTCACTGGCTCTTCCTTAGACTTGCTACAATCCCTCTGGAGATTCCCACTCATTCTGCAGCAGTGCAAGTGAGAGAGACCCTTCCTGGAGTGCCATCCCATCCTTCCAACAGCCAGAGCCTTCTGGTTCATCACCAACAGTTCAGACAGATGGAGGAAAAGGAAAATAAGGAGTTTGGGTTGGCAATCTGGAAGCAGTCACTGGCCCAGTAAAACAGAGAGCAAACAGTGCTGTATATGCAGTGTATCTACAATCACTGTGCAACAGTCGGTGCAATGGGCTGGACTCCACCTTCCTTTGAGATTTAAGGAGTAATACAACACTAAATATGACTTTAGAAAAATATCTGGGAAGGAGACTGTTCAACTATTCATACTGTACATTATTATTTTCTTAAATCATTATATTATAAAAAACAAACCATCTGCAGAGGAACCTGCTTTGTGGGCGCTGCTGGTATTTCTATTTGCAGATTATTTTATTTTGAAAAGTATCCAGATTTTCCCAAGCAGACAGCAGTTTTAAGAGCAGGTTTGGGACACTGCTGGGAGCAAAGATCCCGTTGTAAATCTGCTACATAACAAGTTGTACATCAGATTCTTTGCTATGGATATATTCATTTTTCTGGTTTTCCTCTGGGCAGTTCTAAATTTGCCACTTTCACTTCAGCCCCAAACGCTGCGTGCTGCAAAGCATTCCAGCAGACCATGTACTACATTAAACAAAAAGATAAATGTTCAGCTTAGTATAGTTTCTTTACTTCTTGCATTGAGCAAGGGATTATTAATACAAGTAGCAGAAAAGTCTGTTTATTTTACTGTGCTCACCTCTACAGCAGCAGACAGACATTATAGAAGAAAAATACTGAGACCTAAATCTCTCTCCAGACAAGTTTTTTACACAGAGCTGTTCAGGGCAACATCTGACATTTGACTAGAAAAAAATACATGCACACACTCATCAAACTGTAACAACAATTTAATGTATCATTTTAATTATACAAAAGTCCCACCCTAATTATTCAAACATGAACAACTGATGCACTTAGTACAAAACCAATTCCTCTAGGCAAAACAGCAGAGGAGTGTTTAATTAATTCATTTTTAATTAAAGGTCATCACTGAAAAATCATAGTATGTATGGATTTGAGTAATTATTATTCTAAATGGTGTTCTGTCCCAGTTTCCTGGGCAATCTCTCCACACCTTTGATACACCACAGTGCTCTCCCAATACACATGGATAAAGCTGTCTACAGGAGCCCTTCAGAAACAAACAGCACTGTTTAGTTTTAGTTAGTCACAAGTTCAGCAACATTGAAATCATGTATAAATCATCAAGGACATTCAAAATGCCAGATGTGAAGCCTGTGTGACAAGAGGTGATTCCAAATCAAGTTTGTCCCCAGCCTGAACACCTTAAAGGCAGTTCACCCATAAAACAGTGTGGGGGCACCAGGCCTTTCCACACATTCCTGCCACGTCCTTCTGGACCAGCACCTCCTGTTCCCTTACCCTGCTGAATCCAGTCAATCATCTTCTTAGGCAGCCAAGTTCATCAGCAACACAGGCTGTCTTCCCATCCTCTTTCCCTCAGTCCTCAGGCTCCACATCACTTAACTCTTCCATAACATTCATAACCAGATTTCCTTTAAAGCAAAGAGATACAAACAACACCTTTTTGACTACTGTCATGAACATGAAAATGCTGCAGAATGCACACAGCTCAGAGACCTCACTCCAAGGTCAGGGAGCCACGTAACCTCAGCAAAGGAACAAATTCAGAGTCATAATCATTTGCTGCTTCCACTGGAAAACCTATTCTAGGAATGTGGGCTTTACAGTGCTCAGGAGGCAGAGCTGTGAGCCTGGTAGCTCTAACATGATCATAAAGGGGACTAAGCCCCTTCTAGCTTCTAGTGTTGTGTTCAGCTGCT